CATTGCTTGCAAATATATTTTCCCACTCGGATGGTTGTCTCTTTACTTTGTTGACAGTTTCTTTTGTTGAGCAGAAGCTTTTTAGTTTGATGTAGTCCCACTCATTTATTTTAGCTTTTACTTCCTTTGCTTTTGAGGTCAAATTGATAAAATCCTCTTTAAGTCCAAGGTCCTTCAGTTTAGTTCCTACATTTCTCTTTTTTAAAGAGCTGATACAGATGTAAGGGCTACACATAGGGAAGACACTGAGATATTTTTTGTACACATCAGTAAGGAAAAAAGCAATAGCACTAGGCAATTTAAGCAAATAAAGGAGATGAAATAATATAACTGGTTTCTAAAATACATACCATACTTGTAAAATGATATTCCTTTGGCCCGAGCACTCCTACGAAGTTCATTTACAGCAACAAGAAGTGTTGCTGAAAGAAAAGCATTCATATTAGCGAGAAACTTCATGCCTCTGAACTGTAAAGATGGCACCTCAAAAAATAAATAAATATGCACAACACTTTAATGCCAGATTTGGCAATAAGGAAAAGTTCTGTATTAGTCATTATCAAGATCCCAATTAGCCATCACAATATAATGAACCCCATAATAATTCTAAACCATAATTTAAATACTATTATAACAAGAGCCTTAATTTATTGGATAGCTACTATTTGGCAGGCACCACAGGCAGCACAAGAACTTTTGATCCTCCCAATCATTTGAGGGAGGTGGTCAAACTGTCAAAGATGAAGGAAACACTATGCATAGAAAATGACAATGTTTCAGAAGTAAACATACTATGAGTAAAGCAGTGAATTAGGCAGTTTCATACATGATAGCACTTCTGTCATAATACTGTTATAGCTGAACCTTGCAAGAACTTAGAAATATCTGTATTGCAAAAAGAGATAGCCTTCTCTGATGAACACTACTTAAACCTGATTTTTAAAAACTCAGTATATAAGTTATGTTTTTATATTCCATTTTAAATGTTCTAAGATTTATGACACGGTACTCAAAAACAAACAAACAAAAAAAGCTTTTCCCTTGCCCTCACCATTACAAGAACTACAGTATACTGTATAAAGAATTTACTCCCATATGTAGACAAAGCTATTTGTCTACTGTTCCTATTTCCACAGTTCTCTTAAATTGATGGAACTTAGTAATCTATAATAATGGACTGCTGAATATATATTACCAAATTAAGAATAAATACTATGACAGTACATACCTCCTTCAGATACCAGTGATCCTGCTAAAATACAATATGCCTAGAAAATAAATATTAAAATAAAGCATAAGTTAATATTTTGCTAAAGAATCACAACTGTTCATGCATATAGTTCGTAATGTTTAAAATGGAAAACAAATTTGAATCTAAGCCAGATAAAGGTCTTGATGGGAAACAGCTCAAATGAGGAAAAATGAGATAGATGGTATTTTCAGATAAGAAAAGAGCAGCTTAAAAATCTGATGGTCATCTCATTTTTTAATACTTAGAAGACATATATAACATATATAATGTATACATTATCTACATTATTCTACAGAATGTAATACCATGACCTAAGCTAAATTCATGATATGAAAGATGCAAGAATTACTTAATTAGTACAAACTTTTTTAAAATTTTATTTTTATTTTTTAGGTGAGGCAACCTTTGGTTGACCTCACAGATTGCAAGGACCTTGGTCAGCTTACAATCCCTTAATTTTTACGCCTAGAGCACCTGGTCTTCCTAGGCGGTCTCCCGTCCATGTACTAACCAGGCCCAACCCTGCTTAGCTTCTGAGATCAGATGGGATCGGGCTTGTTCAGGGTAGCATGGCCATAGACAGTATAAACATTTTTTTAAAGTTCAAAATGAACACAAAGATTTGAAATCTGGGGTTATGGATATCAGATGCAGTAAGATCCACACCCATACCCAAGCAACTTCTGGACTTGTCTGGACGCCCAGCACCAAGAGAATCTTTTCTGAATCCTGATTTGAAAAGACAAGTAGCTATGAACAGTAATCAATTTTTTAAAACACATTTTTCTTTCAGTCCCAGGATATTCTTGAATTAAATGAAGATATCAAGAGCAACTTTAATTCAAGGTACATAGAAAGAGTTAACCTAGCAACACAAATTTAAAAAGTTTTTAAATGAAATTCAAACCAAACATCTGTAGAATTTTCAATATTACCTTTTTGGACCCCTAGGCTTCCCTAAAATAGAAGTTTGAAAATTTTGAACTTAAGTCCAACACTCTTGTAATTCTGTTAAGGCTATGTGATTTGCTTGAGTACACAGAAATGATACCACAGTTAAGAACTAGAATACAGGCTTTCCAGTCTCAGTTTTAGGCTCTTTCTAATGAATCATGCTGCCAATCTGAAATATAGTAACTAAACTTCCCAATAATTCTTTTTAATTGTCTATCTCCTTCCAGAAAGGATTTAAAACACATTTATCACCCAATAAAGGGAGACACCGTATACAAGCCAAGATTCCAAGATAATACCTAATAAATATAAATTGGTCTATGGTGTGTCCAATCCATTATTTATTAACAGAATTGTAGTCTGATGGAGCCCTATTTTGTTACTAAAAGATACAAGAGCTTCTGAAAGCTTTAAAACTTATACACAATTGAAAATTTAATAATCGATCCCTATTTCCAGAGCCACAGACTTCTTTGCCTCTATAAAGTAATATTGTACAAATTAGATGAATGCTACGGTAATGAGATATCTATAAAGTGGCCAAACCTTTATTCATTTTAATTATATGAAATGATTATGATAAGAAATTAGTTAATAAAAATTGTAGAAAAATACTAATTTAATAGGCTTGTTACTATTTAGGTGTATAGGTGTAACAAAGATGTTAAAATGAGATTCATTCCAGTTGAAAACAAAGTAGGTTACAAGTACCTCCACATTCTAAAATGAAGTGCTATACCATCTTGCAAAGAAGGTGAACCAGACCTGGTTTTACAACTCTTAGCTCTATACCCACTAGCCTATGTAAGTGGAGCTGAGGTTAAGGAGGCCAAAAGTGAAGATTTCTTTGGAGAAAGCTGTTGAGCTGTTGAGACTGCTCAGAAAGCTGGATGTATGTCCCTAAAGGTTAGAGATTGCAGTGAACTGTGTCTAACATACACCTGAAAAATAAATTTATAGGCAAGTCTACTAACTGATATTTGCTATGTCAGCAGAGTAGATGACCGGGTTTAGGGGGAAAAAAAAACTGCACTCAGAACACATAGGGCCTGACATGGAATTCTGAGTAGGGGTCTACCCAAGAGGCTTCTTGCCAAATGCAAAGCAACCTCAGCAGAAAAAGTATGGGGTTACACCACGAGATGCAGAAACTAACAGAGAGCACTACATGAGCAATTTGTGCTTGTCAAGGAAGCTAAAGTCAGAGTGGCCAAGAAGGGTACTCTCCAAGAAGTGCCCATTAAGCGGGGTGAGGGGGGTGGGGGGTGGGGAGAGAACAGCTTTAAATCTACAACGGACACAGAGGAAACCAGTGCAAAATGACCTTGATGCTAGTACAGAAGTACTTTCTTGTCATCTATCCCTCCCTACCTTCGGTGATGCCAAAGGCAATCTAGGGAGTAGGAGAAAAGAGTAGAAGCTTGGGTGGGAAAATAAAAGTGACCATGCTCCCACCCTACCATTCCTCCAGTGAAGGCTTCCTATTAGGAGGAGGAAAAAGAGAAGCTTCGCCTTTAAATACAATTCCAAAGTATGACTAGCACATGACACTGTATATTTCAGTTACTGACAGATTATTCTTATTCTTCAACAGAAATTATGGAAATTAATGAAACTGCTCAATATGTGGGGGGTGGGGAGAGAACAGCTTTAAATCTCTACAAAGGACAGAGGAAACCAGTGCAAAATGACCTTGATGCTAGTACAGAAGTACTTTCTTGTCATCTATCCCTCCCTACCTTCGGTGATGCCAAAGGCAATCTAGGGAGTAGGAGAAAAGAGTAGAAGCTTGGGTGGGAAAATAAAAGTGACCATGCTCCCACCCTACCATTCCTCCAGTGAAGGCTTCCTATTAGGAGGAGGAAAAAGAGAAGCTTCGCCTTTAAATACAATTCCAAAGTATGACTAGCACATGACACTGTATATTTCAGTTACTGACAGATTATTCTTATTCTTCAACAGAAATTATGGAAATTAATGAAACTGCTCAATATTTTAACCAAGGAGACAGAGTGCTTACTAATTGTACCTACAGAGATATTCATGTTCAACATCATTGAATTGTATGGATTTAGAGGTCATGTTCAGTCATATTCTAAAAAGCACAACTATAGATACATAATCCTATATGACACAATCAAGAAGGTATATGTTAGCCCCATTCCTTAATATCAATATTACAAAGGCATTTTACTGTACTTAAACACTATTTTATATTATTTCAAAACTGAGGAGGAAAAAAATTACCCAGAGAAGGGATTCCATTGGTTGAGGATTAAGCAATCCCATGATTCCATGGTACCAAGATAATCCTGCACCCATCATGAAAATACCAACACCACTAATTAGTGAAGCAATATAGCGCATATTTGAAAATCCATACCTAAAATATAAAAATGATAGTTTATAATACATACAAATGATTTCCTTTCAAAATATGTCTCCTGGGTCAATGAAAAACATACAAAAAAAATTCTTACAAGATTAAGATATTATCATTTTATATTTAAGTAAAGTGTAAGTGCCAAATTCAAATCTAACCAGAAAATCAATGAATAAAGTGGAAAAAACTATAAGATCTTTGAAAATAAAGAGTGCATATGATTTAATCCAGGTATTTTCTAATTCTTTTTCCATACAATCTGTTTTGATTTAGTAGTGATACTTTACAATTATGTGCCACAAATACTTTTAAAATTAATCATTTTAAAAATGCATTCAGATGTTTAATGAACAGGATAACACTTAAATTTCTTTGTAATTTAGCTCCTAATTGAATTATTTTGGTCTTCTTATACAGCCAATCAGTGATTTATATTACCTATAATTTGATGCTGGAAATTTGTTGCTGGTTCTGATTAGTTTAATGCATAGCAACTGATTACTATTATTAGGACTAACAGGTTCAGTTTTCTGGGTGTTTTAATGACAAAATTTTTTTTTAATCTCAATTATTTTCAAGCATCTTTGGTCATTACATGTACTATTTTGTATTACTGTATGCACCAATAAAATACTGAGTATTAAGAAGTTCAAAAATATGATACACTGTAAAAGGAAAAGAATCACTCAGTATTAAAAATATTTCCTGGGAAATTTACATAAACTTTATGATACTCTCTGGCACATGAAAATTTAAGCAAGAATTTTTTCTTTTTTCATTTATTTTCAATTAGTTGACATTCAATATTATTTTGTATTAGTTTCAGGTGTACAGTACAGTGGTTAAACATTTACATAATTTATGAAGTACTCCGTTCCCCAATTAGTTTAGTAACCACCTGATGCTATACAGTTATTACAATATTGACTATATTCCCTATGTTGTGCTTTACATTCTCTTGACTATGTCATAACTACCAATTTGTACTTCCTAATCCCTTCGCCTTTTTCATCCATCCCCCCACCTCCCTCCCACCTGACAACCATTTTGTTCTCTACATCTACGAGTCTATTTCTGTTTTTAAACAAGAATTCTTAATTAAAATCAATTTTTAATCTCTTGGAAAAATGTAATCCTGACAAAGGGAATTCTTAGAGTTTATAGATGTGACAGTGTTCTACCAGCTTGACTTAGAAAAATTTACTGTCTTCTAAAGTTTCCACCCAAAGTAAAATAGGATGTACATATTTATTTAAGTTAAAGCAAATTAAGGTCTAAATTAAATGTCATTACTTTTATTTTATGTGTTTTGAAGGAATTCATAGGTTCTTACTGAAAATTTTAATTCTATAGATCTGCACTATGCAAAATAACTCATTAGTCACAAAAGGCTACTTAAATTTAAATTAGTAAAAACTAAATAAAATTTTAAATGTAGTTCTTCAATTGTACCAGTACATTTCAAGTACTCAACAGCCACATGTAGCTAGTAACTATCATAGTGAACAGATTTTTAGAAAATTCTATTGGGCAGCACTCATGTAGATTAATGAATATCTTGAGAAGAAATCGTCATAACCTAAAATTTTACCCTTTTTTAAATTTTTGGTCTATAAAACTGATCAGGAAAAAAATTTTTCTTGAGATAGTAAAATATTGTAAATGATGTGTAATTTGCAGACAAGAAAGCTAGCTGTTCACTATACTAGCTTACTGATAGCTCCAGGATGTTGAAAATGTTATTTATATGAAAACAGTAGTGTCCTCCTTTCAAGTAAAGAAAGGCATTTATATAAAGCATAAAGGCAGACTCCTTTACAGAAATAAAAGTGCATTCTTTTTGGCCTTAAGATTGATCAAATTCTACTACTGAAACATGTTTAAAAACTGATACATGTGGAATTCCTAAGTTTTAACTGGTCATATTAGAAGCAACAACAAAAAACCTGATATAATTCAAAATAATATATTCTAAAAAGCATACCCATTTTACAAATAATTAATATGAAATACTGACAGAATACTATTTCCAAATCATAACAGGAGGATTAAAATAAAACATAGGTTTACTAAAAGTTATCACAAAGATTTTCAGATTGAGTGGCCTATTAGTTTAAATTTGGAATATGTTCCCTTTGACCAATAATACAGAACTCTAAGATCAAAATATATACTTTGTTTTTAATTATCAAATATAAAAAGAACAAGATCTCTATGCTATATTATAAAACATAAGAATACTTAAACTCCATTTTCAAATTATATCTTAAATTTACTTTGACATAGCAGTGGAAGACATGACCAAATCTTTTAACACAAAATTACAGGTGTATAAACAGGAGATTCTAAAATTCAGTAGCTTTACTTCAATGACTTGCCACCAAAACAAACAAAAACAAAATAAAGGCAATGTCCTTACGGATGAGTAGGATCTGGTGTTTGAATAGACTTACTGATGCCCACTGCTAGTAAACCCTATGAAGGAAAAAAAAGGTAAATAATCATTAGCAAGATGGGGAGAATAATGTGCTAAAAACCTATCTGGAGGGTGCAATTTGACTATGACAAGAAATAACATACACATGTTCAACAGCCTAGCAATTCTGGTTTCTAATATTTACCTGAGAGAAATAAAGATGAATCCAAAGAGGTTCAAAATATCATTGCTTATAAAGATGAAAAATGTGAAAGCAACCTAAAAATACATATTGAGAAATGGCAAAACAAATGATGGTATAATCAAATCATAAATTACTTCTATAACAGTTTAAAAGAATGGAGCTGGGATACAGCATTATGTACTGACATGCTAAAAGCTCCTAACATACCATTAAGTGTAAGAGAAAAAAGCAAGTTTAGGAATAGTATGTACAGTACAGAAGAACTTACATTTTGTAGTTTTTATAATCTACATATAATGTAAAGCACAGAAAAAGGTCTAGAAGAACACAAATTTAACTATATTTATACTTCTGAGGAGAGAATTAGGATTAAGGTAATTTATATCTGTTTTTTATATGAAGAATAACTTGTATAGCTATATAAGACAAAATTTTAAACAGTATGTAGTATGTATGGATACATAAATTTCTAGTAGAACTGCAAAACTATGCATAGGAAGTATACATATCAATGTATATAGAGCAGTGATTACCTGGGGTGTGGAAGGAGGGACTATGGAGGGAAGATGGAGCTATAGCTAAGATTTCTTAAAAAAAAAAAAAAAAAAAAAAAAAAAAAAAAAAAAAAAAAAACGAAAAAAAAATATGGCAAAAATGAAAGCATGTTTTTTAAGTGGGACTATGGAGGGAAGATGGAGCTATAGCTAAGATTTCTTAAAAAAAAAAAAAAAAAAGAAAGAAAGAAAGAAAGAAAGAAAAAGAAAACGTAAAGTAAATATGGCAAAAATGAAAGCATGATTTTTTAAGTTTTGATATCAAAAATCCTACCGTAAATACACAGAATGCTACAAGTTCTTTTCTACTGGATTCCAAAGGAAAAGAGGGTTAAAACTATTCAAAAGACAGATGATGGCTTTTCAGTGAATTAAACTAAGAGAATGAGAGTAAATCAAGGAGGACATGTAATTTTTAAACCTGTACATTAAAACTGAAATATTCATTAATTCATACTATGTGTATGTTTATGTTTATTAAATAGTCAATGAGTAGTCAATCATTTTTAATTTCCTTAATAGTCAGATGGCTGTATAATAAAGTGTGCAATATTACCAAGTATTTTATAAACTGAATATGAACCATACTTATTAGCTCTTATAAAAATATCACAGGGGTGGCTCTGTAGTGTAGTGGTTAGCACGACTGCTTTACACACAGAAGGTCCTGGGTTCATGCCCCAGGTGGAGCCACAGACCATGCCCTGGGTGCACCAGGCCCCCTGAGTGTGCCGGGGGTGCCAGGCCTCGGGTGCACAACACAAGCGTGTGGGAGGAGATGCCCCACCTTTAGAGAACCAGTTCTTAAGGGGAAATGGCAACATCTATAAGTCAGGGGTGGAAGTTGGGGGCAGGGGACGATTAAAGAGGGGGAAAAAATATATCACAGACTCCCTTATCCTGTTCTTCCTCAGAGGTAAGGTAGCATCAGTTATGTCTGATGTGTGCCCTTCCAGGCCTTTTTCTGCTATTTACGTGTTTATGTATTAAATATAATACATATGCATATATATAACCTACATTTGTTTGGTTTACAACATTAATACTAACATCTATTGGCTAAGAAGCATCATTAATGCTTCCCCCTCCATAATCACCTTTCCTTCAGTATCATACTATCATGCAACTGCTTAAATGTTACCTTGGAATATCTTTCTAGTTGTTTTGCGTGTATGACCTGATTACAGAGGACAGAGCAAGGACTGTGTCTTCTTCTAAACACAACACTGCAAACTCAAGTGCTCAATAAGTTCATATAAATTAATACTAAATAATATACTGGGTGTTATTCAGCAGAAAAGTTTTCCCAAATGAACTGTCATAGAAAGTGTAAAACTAGGTACCATTAGAGACACAAGTCTTATTTAAAAGTTGGAGATGTTCTAATCCCTCAAGATACAAAGATAAAATTACTATGGCATAAAAATGTTACAATGAATTAAATTTTTAAAAATATTTTAGGTCTCAAAAGGATATGAGAAATACAATTAACATCTATTCAGTAAGGCCCAGCTGAAATCTTTTTCATCAAAGCCTTTCTGACCACTCTTGAAGACAAACTACTCAATCAAGGAATTCTCAAAGCACTTGATATCATGTGGTCTCAGCTTTTATTTAACTCTACTGCTGTTCAATCTGTTACAAAAATTACTTTTTCTAGTTACAAAACTCACACATGCTCGAAATTCAAATAGTATAAGAGACAGAATCCTTTAAGAGTTTGGAGTATGTTTCAGACTGGTTTTATATACAACTGTATATAGTTTTTAATGTTGCTTCTGTATACAAAGACAGTACCAGATTTCAGAGAGGGCATGTGTGTGTGTGCTTAAAAATATGATCACGATCTATATAATATCTTTTTGTACTTTATTTTATGGAAATTTTCTAATATACAAATGGATGGATAAAACAACAGAATATTCAATAAACCCAAGTCATCTGTCACTTGGCTTTGACAATTACAAATGTTTGACCACATTTGTTTTATCTCAACCATATCTACTCCCCCATGAATACTTTGAAGTAAATTCCAAGCATCAGACCATTTGATTTTTAAATATTTTGGATGAATCTCTAAAAAACTAAGTCTTTTAGAAAATAGAGTCACAAAGCCATTATCATACTTTTAAAAATTAATACTAATTCTTTATTATCAAATCTCTATATAGTAATCATGTATGAAAACTTTAAATTCTGAATTAAAATTCACACACAATGAAATGCACAAATCCTGAACGTACAGTTGAGTTTTGAAAAATCCACAAATCTGAAATATATATTCCTATAAAGATATCTCAGAAAGTTCTCTTGTACCTCTTTTTAGTCAGTGCTCCCCTACATCAGATGTAACCATTTTTCTGACTTTTTTAACCAAAGATTCAAGTTCTACTTCACATAGACATAATTGTTCAAGTATTCTTTTGTGTTCACCTTTTTATCCAGCATATGGTTGGATATATGCTTCTGACTGGATAAGTATTCCATTTTTTTTATTGCTACATAATATTCCATTGTATGAGTATACTGCACCACAATTTGTTTACCTCTTCCCTGTTGGACATTTGAGCTAATTCTAGATTTCTATCCATAAGTAATGGTACTGTAAACATTCTTATACATGTCTTTGTAGACAGTCATTCCCATTTTTCCTGGGTAAATACTAAGAACTGCTGAGTTATACAATAGGCATATGTTTATAGGAAACTGACAAATGTTTTCAAGAGTGGTTTAACATTCTACACTCCACCAGCAATGTCTGAAAAGTCTGGTTGCTCCACATCTTCACCAACATTTGGTTGTCAGGGTTTTTAATTTTAGTCATTATACCAGATATGTAGAGATGTCTTCTTGGGATTTTAATATACATTTCCTAATGATTAATGGTGTTAAACATTTTTTCATGTGTCCATTGGCCACCATTCGTGCATCTTTATTTGTGAAGTACCTGTGCGAATATTGAGCCTCTTAAAAAAAATTGGGTTGTCTTTTTAATACTGAGTTACAGAAGTTCTTTATTTACCTTGGATACCAGTCCTTTGTCAGATTATATGTAAATATTTCTTCCCATTCTGTGTCTTATCTATTTATTTTCTTAAGAAATGTCTTTTAATAAAAGCTTTTTACATTTTGATGAAGTTTTAATTTGTATTTTTAATGGTTTTCTGTGTCCTGTTTAAAAAATTTCTACCTAACCAAAGAAGATATTCTCCTAGGTTTTCTTCTAGAATACTTGCTTTTTGCTCTTACATTTGGGTCTATGGCCCACCTCAAATTTGTATATGGTCTGAGGTGGGGGTTAAAGTCCTTTGTTTTTTTCTATAAGGATATCCAATTTTTCCAGCACCATTTTGTCGAAGAGAGTTTTCTTTCTTCAATAATTTCACTGAATTGCTTTGGTGCCTTTGTCAAAAATCAATTGACGATGTAACTGTGATCCTCTATTCAGATCCACTGGTCTGTCAATCCCTGGGCCAATACCTCACACTGTCTTAATTATTGTAGCTCTATAAGTTTTGAAGTCTTCTAAATTCCCACCCCCTCCCCCGCCTTTTTTTCAAGATTGCTTTGAATATTCTGGGTTCTTTGCATTTCCATGTAAATTTTAGAATTTATTCAGTTTGTCAATTTCTATTTTTTAAAAAGTCTGCTGTGATAATGGAGTTGTATTAAATCTATAGATTTAGTGATATCTGACATTAACACCAGGGCATCCAATTCATGAACATGGTATATCTCTCCATTTCTTTAGGTTTTCTTTAATTTCTCCCACTCATATTTCGAGTCTTTGAGTAAAGATCTTACACATCTGTCATTAAATCTACTCCTAAGTATTTAATATTACTATAAATAAAATTTATTAAAAATTACATTCTGTTTGCTGATAGTAGAAATGAAATGATCTTTGCATATTAGCCTTCTATACCTATTGATTTTGGATACTGAACTAACCATATATTCCTAGAATGCTCACTTGATTATGACATATTATCATTTTTATATATTGCTAGATTCAATATGATTATATTTTAAGGATTTTTGCATGTATGTTCGTGAGGGATACTGACTTCTATTTTTCTTTCTTGGAACATCTGTGTAAGGTTTTGGTATCAATGAGGTTATGCTGGCCTTATTAGAGGAGTTGAAAAGCATTTCTTTCTTCTCTATAAGTTTGTGTACTATTGGTATTATTTCTTCCACAAGTCACTGACGCTCCCTTCATTTTTTTCAATCCTTTTTCCTCTTTTTTCCTCAGCATGAATGTTTTCTACTGTTATATATGAATGTTTTCTACTGCCATATATTTAAGTTCAGTGATAATTTTTTCCAGGGTCTAATCTGCTATTAACTCCATACAGTCAATTTTTCATATCAGATATATTTTTCAGTTCTAAAAGCTCCATTTAGTTCTTTTTTATATCTTCCATTTCTCTTGTCAATATATTCATGTTTTCCTTTCAACACATGCATGTAGTTGCAATACCCATTTAACATCCTGGTCTGCTAATTCTATCATATGCCAATTGAGTCTTAACTAATTTTTTTCCTGGTTTTAAGTCGAATTTTCTGCTTCTTGGCTGTCTACTACTTATAAAAAAAAATGCTGAAATTGTAAATGTTATACTGAGTGTTATGATTTTGCTGTTTTTCTTATAGAGTCTCAGGCTTTATTCTGGCAGATTAAGTTACCTGCAGATCAGCTTGACTTTTTAGAGCTTTGTTAGGGAGGTTCTAGAATAGCCTTTGCACCAAAGATAATTTAGCCCTCTACTAAGTTTTGACCCTTCTACTGGCCTGTGTAATCAATGAGGATTCTATTTTCACATAGTCCGAACTTGATGTATCCTAGCCCTTTGAGAGTACTCTAGGAGTTACTCAGCTTAATGCTCCCTGCTGGTCTTACCCTACACTTGTGTAATTTAACATTCAACAAAGACTCAACTCAAGGAAAACTCCATGTAGACTTTCCTAGACTTTTCTGCCAACCTCCCTCCTCTGTGGAACTCTGCCTTGTAATTTCTAGCCTCCTCAGACTCGCTAAATTTTATTTTTGCCTTCTCAACTTAATGAGACTATTATCTCCACTCCGGTTCCACTATCCCAAATGTGCCTCCAAGCAAAAATCAAGAGAGATCACAGAGGTTCAACTCGTTTCTCTTCTCTCACAGATCAAGGTCTTGTACTGCTATTGCCTAATGTGTGAAAACACTGTTTCATATATTTTGTCTAGTTTTTTAGTTGTTTACATCAAAAGACTAAATCCATTCCCCATCAGTCTACTATGGCTGGAAACCTAAGTTCTTTACATAATGTTTTGTAATTTAATTTTTTTACTCAAATTATCATGTCATTATTCCAAGTCAGTATATAGCTATATCTATCACATTCTTTTAAACCCCTGAATAGTAGTTCAAAGTGTGGATACTAAAAAAACTGTTTTCAATGTTTTAAATAACAATAATGAAGCTAATAATCTGAATATATTTCCTTGTCCATATGTACAATATTTTTACATTTCAATTTTCTTAAGTTCACATAAGCTTTCAATGAAATATATATTATGTATTATATATCTTCCCAACCCCTCTTCCCACAACTGACTCGGAAAATATTATATCAATACTAGTTATTATTTACTGTATAAAATTAACTCATGGGAAAGACTTATAAGTACTGATAGCAAATGTTCAACTTTTCTTACTTTTCCAAAGAGTTTTAATCCATTTGATAGTGAGTTAGGCAAGTTCTTGAGGGGTTTCATTTTTCATTAAGATTGCTCTCCCCACTCCTCAACACTTTATTATTTTATACTTTGTCTTAAATATTCTTAATGAACCTGTTATTTTTTACTATAAGTTCTTCCAAACTTGTTCTTATATAATAAGAGTATAAATACATACATAGAGACTGAAAAGGTATATATCACATACTTTAAAATGTGAAATGATAACAAGTAGAAATTTCTATTGTGTTCTTTAAAAAGGTTAGGTTTGCAGTACTCGAAATTTGGATCAGAAAAGGTATTTTCATTTTATAAAAATCATTCTTCATTTGCAAATTCAAGAAAGGGATTCAAAATACTAGTCTAATATGAAAATCATTTTAATTCATCAATCACATATGACTAATTTATATCATTATTCCAAAAACTTAAATTCACTGGCTCTTACAGTTGTAAGAATTCATATTCAGAGATCAAATTTCCACCTAATGTAAGAGTCTCTTCCACAAAAGCTTCTGCCCAAACACTTAATAAATGATAATTTTATACTTCATACTCCACTGCTGGAAGTTCTTAAAGCCTAACAACCTGATTTAAAATACTATGATCATATTTCTATGTACTTCATCATTCAAAAGTGAAATAATTTTCTTTTCCATATGCCAAGTATAGTAATTATTCAGTTTTTAAACAGGCTAACTTTTAGGTTAAAACAGTAAAAAATTACTTTAAAATTAATAAGAAAAAAGCTTTACCCCTCACCTGATTACAAGTATCAGATAAAGAGTGTACAGCTTCGGAGAACATACTTGCTGAACCCGTATAAATCCAAGCAAGAAATTTAAAGCAGCAATTTAATCCATTGCTGGAGAGAAAGAGAAAACAATTTAGCATTGGTTTGGACAAATATTTCTACCAAAAGCTTACTTAATTGACCATATATACCTCTATACTAGGTTCGGTTCAAAGTAAATTAAAAAGAATCAAGAACTTATGTTTTATGTAACAAGAGTACAAATTTGAAAAATACAGATTATGGTATCATTAAATACTCAAATGAAGAGGCATGATGTGTATAAGCAAATTAAGTGCATTTTGAAAACTGCTGAGAAAAAAGGATGTTCTACATTTACACAAAATGAAATTAGAAAGGAAATTATATATCTTAGGTAGGTAAAAGAAGATCTGCACTAGATAATGCCCAGTAGACCAGTGTTAAAGGCAAGACTTTGGTGAAGGTCTGTTTACTTAAATAGGCAGATGCCAGAGGTGAAGATAAATCTAGACCAAGCAGTCTCTGAGTCATACTAGATCACAGATGCTAAAATAAATATGATTAGCTCTGAACAAGCCAGCTGCTCAGATTCCAACAGTAATGACTAGTATGATTTATTTCAGGCACTATACTAGTAATTTACCATGTTTTATTAGAATCTTATTATACAAATATTAACATCTTAATTTTATAAATGAGGAAACTGTAAATCCCCTTCAAGCTATCCTTTTTTCCACTCCTCCACTTCAGATAGTCTCGAAAGAGTTATACTGCTCTTGCTGTCTCAGTCTTCCTTATTTTTCACTGTCTTCAATGCACTGAACAATGGCTTCTACCTCCAATAGCTCATTAGATTGTTCTTATCAATATCACCAACTGTTTCTTGCTATTAAGTTCCTAGAAACGTTTTAGTATTTTCCTTAATCTCACAGAAGCATTTGCCACCATTTTCTTAAAAACCTCTCTTCTCTAGCTTCCATAATGCTCCTGGTTTTCTTCCGACCTTGCTCCTTATTTTCCTGTCTCCTGTGCTGGCTCTTTTTCTTCCGCCCATTTCTTAAATGTTAGCATTCTTCAAGTTTTTTTCTTGAGAGCTTTTTCTTCCTCACACTATATGCATTCTCCATGTAATCTTAACTATGCCGATGGCTTTAATTATCATGTATATACTAATAATTCTCAGTTCTAAATCTCTACTCCATATCTCTCTTCTGAGCTTCAGACCTATATATATGACTTCGAAGTACATATTATGTACCAGGTACTATGTTAAGCAGTTTACATATATTCCACACATCTCTCTGATGAAGAAAACTTTAACTGCTAACCCCGTTTTACCGACACACACACACAAACAAAACAATGAATTAAGCCTATAGAAAACTCAAACTCAAAAATGAATTCATCATTTCCTTTGCTTCCACCTTGCCATTCCTTTCAGTCTACCTCCTCTCAGTGAGAGTGCAATACTTATCCAATTGTCCGAGAAGCTAGGCAACATCCTTTCCATACTTCCTAAATACTTGCTGAATCTAACCATGTTTCTTCATCCCTACTACCATTATCTTAGTTTGGGGGCATCATCATCTCTTTTCTGTATTATTGTAAATAACTTCATTTAGTTTAGTGCGCCTCCAATCCTTTAAGATAAGAATATTGTATTTCTAGACCCAATCACAATTCCTGACATATGTTTATATACATATATAAAATAAAAGAACTAATGAATTATGGAATTAATGCTTTTAAACATTTTAAAATAATTCGACAAAATGAATAAAAGATAAATAAAACAACAGAAATCAAGAAGACAGAGGAAAAAAGATAGCAAAAACATTAATTATTTTCTACTAAGCTAAGGGGGAGAAAACTAAGAGTGCAGATATTCTTTAGTAGCTATAATCCAGGTTGATTTAACTACTCTAAAAATAACCTTGGCCAATTCAACTTTTTATAAAAAACTTCTATCGACTTCAATGAAAATAAGAGAACTTTCAGATAGCAATTGTTCTTGTATCTTAACCACATCAGAAATATACAAGAGCAAAGGTATCTATGTGGATTCTTCCCCCATCAATTTACAAAAACACAGACTTGTATTCAATTTCCTCCTAAAACGACATAAACGTCTAACTATTAGATACCAAGTAATAAATTTATACATTTAAGAATATATACATAATATTTCTGTTTTAAAAGGCTTATATTTCAGTACTTACATGCAAATGGCAACCATCACCACTTTTCCTGGCCCCTTAAAAAAAACTGATGTCATTCTGGAACGTGGCTATTAAAAAAAAAAACAAACAAAAAAAACCCTCTAAAATTTTCTGGAGAACCATTTTAACACTTTAACAAGTGATCGTGACACACTGGAAAATATCTATCAATCTCTCTAAACAACCACATTTACTTATTTCTTTTTCTCCAGAATTTCTTCTAACAAGTGGGAAAATGGAAATCCAAAGTGTATCTAACGCCTCTTCCAGAATCTTGTTTATTTTTTTTCTTTATAATTCATTTCCTGACTACTTTCAGAAAGGAGATGATGTTTACATAAAAACTAAAGTGATAAAAATGTATTGAACTAAATTGATTTAAAAATTTTCCATTTCTTGAGCAACTTAACTTTTAAACAAGGAACAGACAAAGCCAACAAATTTGCTGCTCTAATTTAACTCCTGACTGTTCTCCAAAGATCTCAAGTGATAACCATGTGTTTAATTCCAAAATAGACCAAAACAAAAAGAAACAAAATAAGCAGAGAAACATATCCGGGGGAAATACTTTTCTTGAATTAAATGTTCTTTTGCTGTGTTCCCTGATTATATACTTCTTTTTTTTTCTCTTGCTCTTTCCTCTCCCTGGAATGCTATCATCTTCTACTGCAATGTGTCCAAGTTTTATTCATCCTCTTCCATGTCTGGCCAAGTCACTTTTGTATGTAAAGCCTTCCTTGATTCCCCACTGAGAATACTCTCCTACATATTTAGTGTTGCACTTTACATTTCTATTAAAGCACTTTATATATTCTGCCTCAAGTCATTTATTTAAGAATATTTACTATGCAGCTACTATATGCCTGGCACAGTTCTAGATGCTGAGGCATGAAGGTAAACAAAACTGAGTCCCTGTCTTCACAGATCTCACTCTAGTACACAAAGATAGAGGGCGGGAAAACTCCATAAATACATAATATCAGATAGTGATAAATGTAAAAACTGAGAGAATAATGGGTGAGAGCAGGGTGTACGGTGTAAAGGATTATTTTAGCTAGAGTAGTCAGGGAAAGAAGCTCAATGATGAGACAAACATGACAAAATCTGAAAGAATGTTTTAAGTAGAGTATACAGCACATTCAAAAACTCAGAAACAGAAATAAGTTTGGTGTATAGAAAGGATAAAAATAAGGCTGGTGTGGCTAAAGCATAGACAGCAGAGAAAATGGTAGGCTTTGAGGCCAGAGGAGGAGGCAGGGGCCATATCCTACAGGATTTTGTAGACTATGGTAAGGAGAATAAATTTTATCCAATGGCAAAGAGAAGCCACTGAATGATATTAAGCAGATCCTTGATACAGTATGATATATGTTTGAAAAAGATATAGTTTATGATGTAGAGAATGAATTATGGGGCAAAGGTAGAGAGATCAGTTAGGAGGATAATCTAGGTAAGAGATGATGGTTTAGACTAAGGTTTCAATAAGGGACATGGTGAAAGACAGTCATACGAGGTATCTTGTTTTGGAGAAAATGCTAACGGGACTTACTAATGGATTTAAACATAAAAGCACTTATAATGACTCTCCAACACAGGGTGAGTAAAAAGCAGAGTCTTTTGCAAAGGTGACAGAGGAAGGATTAACAAAGAAGAAAAACATAAAAAAGACTGTTTTGGGCTTCTACAGAACAAGGTGCTGCAAGGAAGAGGAATACCTGCTCCTGGTGGCAGGCAACTGAACATTTCTTCCCTACTTCTCTGATATTCGTGAAGAGAGATCGCCCCTGCCCCATATGTTGGCATAACTCTCCCCACCTCATTACTGTCCTAAGTTTGAAGTTTAGTAAGGAGGTTGACTAAGTTTAGTAAGGTAGGTAAACTAATTTAGGGAGAGAATGCTGGGCATTCTTGGCTCCCTCCTTTATTTTGGGATTTGGTACACATTCTCTTCTGTTCTTTCACGGCTCTATATCTGGGCAAGAATGCTTGAGTTAGCTATAAATTACTGGGGAAGTCTAAATAAGGGAAGTCTTTAATAAGGAAAGTCTTTAATGTATTAGTGTGGATCTTTGAAAAACAACTGAGGAAAACAATCAAGGGGTGAAACTTTAGGTTAGTAAGGCCATGCCATGCAAGAGTTTGTTCTTGGTTAAGTCACTACAGCTTATGGGAGTTTTTAGCAAGCAGGCTACAATGGCTTTCAATAAGTAGAAATAGCCCACATCAAAAGTACAGGTCCTATAGGACAGCCTACTACAGCTTAAAATTTATTCTAACTTGCACCTTGGCATGGTATAGCCAAGAAAGCTGAGGCAGAATTCTATTTTGGTATGAGAGCTAAATGCCCTCTTTTTTTTTTTTTTTTTTTTTTTTGTACTTTATCAGTGCTTTGCAGTCAGGTCTGCAGGGGGAGTTTTAATGAGCACCTTCTAAATTCCCTGTAGACAACAGAGCAAAAGAAGGAGCTTTAAGTTTAAGGTATTAAAGCCAACTCTCAACAAACAGTGTGCAATTAGATGTCCCAAATTCTATTTTGAACCACCTCTGAAGACAAAGAACCAGGCAGGGACAAACCTCGTCCATTAGTTTCAACTTGAACTTTGATTTGTAAACTACACATGCTGACCACAGCTCTGGATTTCTAAGTTCTACTGTTTAGTGATAAAAAATTTCTAAGTTCTACTGTTTAATGACAATATGCCATATCCTTTGAGCAGAGGAAAAAAAACCTGAATGAAATTATTGTAGCAACAGTAGAAAAGGAATACCAAATAAATGAAAAAATGAGGCTTAGAGTGGAAGATGAGAAAGATTTCTTTAGAAGCAAGGTCTGAGAACTTGTGGAATCAACAAGACAGATAGGGAAGGGAAATGAGATCTTTAAAACCAGAATAGAATATTATAATAGGAAAAAGATCTACTGAGCTAAAATTGCTCTGATAAAGGCTATAGAAAAGGTGAAAATGTGTTAGTGGTAATTAGGTCAGAAATAGTAACAAGGTCTAAGGAAATTTAACAGTAAGAGAAGCAAAATGTGGAAAAGCAAGAGATCAATAAAGAGCCAAGATTCACAACCTCTTGGGAAAGCATACTGTTACAGCCACCTATAAATTCTTTAATAAAAGCAATTGGAGAACTGTTCCTTAAAGATCAGAATGCTCAAAATGTTGATAATTATTAAAACTATTCTATACCAAATATCTATTTATTCTATTTCTGTATATATTTGAAAATTTTCACAATAAATAAGTTTTAGTACTGGAACAAAAATAAAAAATCTGAATAGATTTTAGAGAGAACTACTAGGAAAATCAGCACAAAATACTCGAAGTACTACTGGTGTATTTCAAGGTGATTCTATCATTGCAAGTTGATACTCTGAAGAACTATCCCAAAAAGTTCACAGAATTAGGATTCTAAAGGGAAGGTACAGCAAAGTAGAAATCTATTAAAGTGACAATGAGAAATTAGATATTAGAGGGTTAGACATTGTTCTGATGAAAGAACGTTTTTGGCAGAACATAGTGAGTTCATACATCTCGCTATTGGAGTTTCCACAAGACAAAGAAAAACATAACAGAAAAACAAGTGTCTAAGTCAGAAAGGGAAAAAGTAAAAGTAAAGAAGGTATTTCATGCCACTGAACTAGGTCCATATATTTTAGAGAAGAAAAACAACCTTCAGTAGTAGAGTGAATGTTGCTAACAAGGACATGAGAACAGTAGAGGGAAATTAAGTACTACAGTCTTACAGTGTTACCACAAAAAAAAAGTGTAAGAGAAAGAAATTCTATTCACAACCTGGAACATTTCAAGGCTGATGAGTATTAAGTCTTCGAAAGGCCTCTAGTGACACAGATTTCAGAAGTCAACAGCTACTATTCAAAAATCTAGTGAGGATGATCTTTCATGTGAAAGAGACATAAGGCCAGGAGTAAATCTTCTCAAGAGCAGGTCTCACCAGTCTAAGTTATTCCACAGCAAGATGCAGTGGCAGTGCCTGTCACAGCACAGAAGTGAAAAATGCTGGCTCATAAGACATATGAAGTCTCTACCACTGAAGAGAGTCCACACCTTCACTGCAGCACTACAGTGCCAAAAAGATAGGGCTCAAGTAGGAAACGGAAATTAGTAAGCTGAATATAATAAATGGGAAAGAAAAACATTTCAAATAAACTATGACTAGAGTTGTTATCATTTACAATTTCTAAATTTTGCAAGAACAGAGCAACGTATCAAATGTAACTCAGAAGAAAGGAAACAAATTGCCCAGTTAGCCTCATCCCCAGATATGGCAGTCACTTCTTGATAAGGAGATACCTCCTAGCTAAGTTTATATGCAATGTTGATTCTGGAAATGACTACTTGACATCTTGTTGGTGTTGGTGACTTTGGTAAGAGCCATTTCATTGTAGTGGGTATAAAAGCCCAACTGAAGAGGATTCAGAAGAGAATAAGAGGTGGGACAATAAAGGCAAACTTTCTATACTGGTCCCAATATTAATTTCCTTCTAATAGGAAGGAAAACAAGAGTATTCTAGCACATATGTGGATAAGTTAGTAAATCTGGTAATGGAAAGTGAGGTACTTTCATAGATTACATTTATTTTTTCAATAAAATATGAAACAATGTTGTCAGTTGAAGAGTAAAGAATGGAGTTATAGAAAGTTTGGGAAGAAAGGAAAAGATATTCAACAGCTATCTCAGAATGGGAAAGTGAATATACTATGGAAGTTTATCAGACTGTCAAATAACATTGAGTGTCCAGTGATTTTGTATACTCTTATAATAAAAATCAAAATGGCTGTGTAATTTTCTCTTCCAAGGGCTGAACTTGTGGGGTATAAACAGAGAAATGGCAGTTTAAATGTTTAACCAGGGTTATGAGTAGGAGAGAGGATAAAGGAAATTAAAGGTAGATATGACTGCTGAATCTTACTAAAAATCTAAAAATAGTCTTCCTCCTCACCTATATCTATGTACTTATGGTTTACAACACAGTTCTGCATTTAAAGAGAACTTATATCCCAATTTTTTAAATTTCAAAAATATCAGAGAGAAGTAAATAGACTATAATTCAGTAAATTATAACGTGCTCAAGAAAATCTTGAATTAAGATCACAGATATGCCAGAATTTCACAATGAACTGACACACTAGGATTTCACCTGTGCAAGAGGTGCATAACATTAGCAGAAAGATATACTTACCTTGGTGTTTCCCAGGAAATCTCTATATTCTCTTAATATTTTTTGGTTTCTAAATAACCCTAAAGAAAAGAATTACAAAACACATTTAGCTCACACATAGTCTTATCTGTTAAATTTTAGATTAATACAATAATTTTCTTTAAGACTATGTTAAATATGCTCTATTAGCTACCAGCAAAAATATCAGGTTATTATAAGAAATCTAGATTTGTAATCCGATTAAAAAAATGGGCAAAGGACCTGAACGGACTTTTTCCCAAAGATAACATACAAATGGCCAAGAAGCACATGAAAAGATGCTCATATCACTAATCATCAGAGAAATGCAAATCAAAACCACAATGAGGTATCACCTCACACCCATCAGAATGGCGACTACCACCCTCCTCACCGCCCCCCAAAAAAATAACTGTTTATGAGGATGAGGAAAAATTGAAAACCTTAGTGGGATTGTAAAATGGTGCAACTGCCATGGAAAACAGTATGAAGGTTCCTCAAAATAGTAAAAGCTATCATGTGATCTAGCAATCCATTTGTGGGTATATATCCAAAAAAATGAAAGGAGGGTCTCAAAAAAATATTTACACACCCATGTCCACAGCAGCACTATGCACAATAGCCAGGGAGTGAAAGCAACCAAAATGTCTATGGACAGATGAGTAAACAAAATATGGTAAATACAATGGAATATTACTCAGACTTAAAAAGGAAGGAAATCTTGTCAAATGGATGAACCTTGAGGGCATTATGCTAAGTGAAATAAGTCAAAAAGACAAATGCTATACGAGTCCATTTATATGAGGTATTCACAGTAACTGAATTCATAGAAACGAAAAGTGGAATAGTAGTTACCAGAAGCTAGGGGAAGGGGAGAAGAGGAGTTGTTTAAAGGGAACATTTTAGTTTTATAACATGAAAAAGTTCTGGAAAAGAAAAATTTCTGGAGATGTTTCATAACAGTGCGACTATCTTAACAATTCTGAACTGTTCACTTAAAAATTGTTAAAATTATGAATTTTATGTTACATTTTTTACCACAATAAAAAAAATGGGGAGAAATCTGGATTTGCATAAAGGCAGTTTGATAAGATGCTCTCCTCAAAATTACCTAAAAAATATGAGTTATTTAAGCTTGATGTAAGAACCAATTCTTCATTTTTAACTCGAAGGTCAAAAATACAGGAAGAAATATTTTCCCATTACTGTTTTCTCAAATTTTGTTACTTTAAATATTTTCTTTACGTACAAAGTTTTAATGGTATTATTTTAAGAGCAAAAGACTGGAAATGATTGATAAACTATGGTATAACCCACCTCAAAATGCAGTTTTATAAAAGGAACAAAGGAATGTCTCTATTTACTGCTAGAGAATGCTCCCCAGGACATACTATCAAGTAAAAAAAAAAAAAAGACAGAAAGCATATATACTATGTCTTATTTATTAAAAGGGGGGTAGAGGAGGGTTAAAACCATTAAGTATGCTATTTTATACTTTTTAAATGGTTACCTATGCAAGAGAGAGGGAATAAGATGGAGAGGACAGGAATGGAAGCTAAATTTCTTTGAAGTATTTTGTCTCATAAATGTGACTTTGGAATCATGTAAATGTGTTACAAAACAATAAAATATAAATAAATCAAAATTATTTCTAAAAATCCAAAGCAAAATGAAAGAAATGAACCTAATTTTATATCTATTTGATGGTTTATCCACACAGAGAGAAATTTCAAGTGACTTTAAAACAGAAATTTGATTATATATACCTAGTGGAATATATATTAAAGATTAAAAAAAAGCAAAGAAATCTTAAATCACCCTGATAGCAATAACACTGATACTGTTATTTTGAAACTACACTGATTTCTCTCTGTATGAGTATAAACATAAGAATAAGACAAAATCTAATTATTTTAATTATGTTAATGAATTAAGAAATAAGATTTTCAGTATATACAAAAACCAAAAAAGAAAAAAAAAGGTGTTTATCAGAATAACCTGTGTATTTTCTCTTAAGAAAAAAAATATTTCCTAGCCCTGTCCACTGAAAGACCTTAAAAATATGTCAATCTATTAAAAATTAGTACCCCTAATGCCCAGAGTATGGTCTCCCAATTTTATTTCCCACTAAAAAGAAAAGGGTCTCCTTTTAGAAATGGCTGATTCCTAGTCTATGGCAAGAAATATGTAAGATGAACCTGAAATATCTCACTGTACCTAAAAGCAAGGATGCTTTATTGTACTAGGGTTATGACAAAAGGACTTAGCAATCAACTTGAGGTGCTTCCACTGGCCAACAATGGGAAGATTTAAGCACCACTACTTTGCCTACTTTGTTCTTTACTTCCTTGCGTGTCTTCTCTGCCCTTTTCTCCTTCTCACTGATTTCCTTCCTATCTCACCGCTCCCCATCTTGGTACTGAACCCCATACTCTCAAGAAATGCTCTCTATCCCTTTTCCAGTGTTACTGACCATAACTGTCTCACAATTTCCACTTAGAAATTTTATCAACTCATCAAGGGAAGGAAATATTGTTACCTTTAAGCCTTGATCCTGCACAGAACTTAGAAATATAGTTAAAGGATTCAGAATTCTCCTAAATAAAGCCTGGCTGTCAAAGAAATATGTGCACATTTTTTTGCAGACACTAGCACCTCTATCTCTACTTTAATCTTACCACATTACCATATCAGTTCCCCAGAATAACAGAACCATAACTATAGTCTGAGTATCTCATTCTCCAAAGGAATATGCCCTATTCCACCAACATTTGATCATATCTAAATTAGCACTTGTATTACCTAAAAGAAACCCAAATAGAAGCCATTAACTAAACACTGTGCCAAAATTCTGGGGCTCCCTGACCCCAATGTGTATTTCTTTTATTGAAAATAAATATTTTACTCCTGTGGATTTAAGTATAGCTCTCTTTAGTGTACCTAGTGTATCTATAGATATAAAGATAGTCAACAACGGTTTCTTCTGTGAGGCCCCTTACATACTAGGGTTCACCGACTCTCCTTCATACTTTTTAAAATGTTAAACCAATCATTTAAAGAACTTGAATTTTGCAAGGAAATCTACACTTATTCAATATCCAGATGACTTAATATTATATATTCTAGCCTTACAAAATTCTCAAACATATTCCTTATTCCTTCTGACTACATTAGCTAAAAGACATAATGTTTTTGATTTTGTCAAAAAAATTATCAGAAGGTCACTCACGTTCTTTGCCAGAATTAAAGTTCAACCAAGAGACAACTGAGTAGATTATGAAGACTGACAGTCTACTACAGGCAGTGGACAATAAACTTTTCCAAAAACCATCACATGAACGAACTAAAACAAACAGCTGATCTTGTAGAGTTATATACTCAAATATTTACAGACAAAATAATCTAATACCTGGACTGGTTTTACAGTAACTCATTAGAATGAAGATTAATGAGGGGGCTATAGATGAAACAAAGTTGGCCATGTGTTGATAATTATAACGCTGCATGATGGGTACATGAGGGGTTATTATACTTTCCTCTGTACTTCAGAATATATTTGAAATTTCCCTACTAAAAGGTAGGGAAACAAAACAAAATGTGAAGAAATGTTCGGAAATACTTAGACCATATACAACTAAGTGTTAAAATCCACTGAGAGAGGAGGAAAAAAATGGTGTAGATGATAGAGGCTCTGTTCATCCCTCTGGTGACCAAACCAAAGTTGTGACGGAAACAAGGAGCAAGCAGCAAAGAAAAATCACCTGGGATCTTGATGAACAAGCCATACAACTAAGGAGAAATCCAAGAAACACCCTGCAATGGCAGAAGGTAGGACAGGGCGAGGACATGGGGCTGCCCAGTCTCCAGTGGCTAAGTGGGATCGAGGCAGTGGCTGCGCCTCTTAAAGGGGCTGCATCCGTGAGCAGATTTTTGCAGTGACGGACCTGTTTGCTCTGAGCACCAGTGCCGATTTGGCTGTGCACAGAGGGTACCAGGGATTTACACGGAGACAACGTCAGAGTGAGGGCCGAGGCGAGGCTCACTCTATATAGTACAGAAGTGCTGGAGATATCCATTGTTCCCTGTTGAACTCTCCCCGCTCCAGTGCGCAGACACAGAGCCGCCATAGCCAGGATGTCATCAAACTGGATAACAGAGGTCGCTCCACCCAGAGAATTCCCTAAAACCCCACCTCCCCCAACTCATGGCCCCACCCAAACCACATCCAGGTGTATCCTCAGCGAGTCAGGTGCTCCTTGCTGAGCAGTGCCTAGACTCACACTGGAGGCAGCTGGCCTCAGTTTCTGGTGTGGCCTTTTGAGGCAACTATAAGCACAGCATCTGTGGACTGCTTGCTGAATCTTAACAGGTGGCCCTGGAGGGGCAGAGGCTTGGGCTAAATTTGGCCTGCAGCTGAACCTATCTCAGGACTGTGCCACTGGACACCTACTTCACAAATCCACACTAATAAGATTGAGAGACTTAGGAGCTTTGCTTAGTAAAGAGAAATAGACGCGGAAAGGCAGCCAAAATGGGAAGACAAGCAGAAATCATATGAGAGACCAGAAGAGAAATACAGATATAATGGAGTCAACTAATCTAACAGATGCAGAGTTCAAAACACTGGTTATAAAGATGCTCGATGAACTTTTGGAAAGTGTAGATAAATTCAGTGAGAACTTCAATATAAAAGGAAACCAGTCTGAAATGAAGAACGTATTATCTAAGATGAGAAGTATATTAAATGGAATAAACAAAGGAATAAACAAAGTGAATAAAGAAAAGGATCAAATGACCTATCTAAAGGACGGGAAAGCCAAGGACACTCAATCACAATGGCAAGAAAAAAGATGCCAAGACTATAAAAATAATTTAAGGAGCATATGGGACACAATTAAGGGTCCAAATATCTGTCTGATCGGCATACCTGAAGAAAATCAAGATGTTGAACAACTGTTTGAAGAAATAATGATGGAAAACTTCCCTAACCTGGTGAAGGAAAAGGATATAAAACTCCAGGAAGCTCAGAGAATCCCAAAAACCAGGGATCCAAAGAGGCCCGAACCAAGACACATCATAACTAAAATGCCAAAGGTTAAATATAAAGAAAGAATATTAAAGCAGCAAGAGAAAAACAAATAGTTACCTATAAGAGAACACCCTTAAGACTGGCAGCTGATTTCTCAAAAGAAACTTTGCAGGACAGAAGGGCTTGGCACAAAATATTCGACATGATGAAGATCCAGGATCTACAACCAAGAATACTTTAGAATACTTTATCCAGTGAAGGTGTCATTTAGAGTTGAAGGACAGATAAAGAACTTCTCAGACAAAAATAAGCTATATATCACCACCAAACCAGTATTATAGGAAATGTTGGAGAGACTACTTTAAGAAGAAAAAAAACATGTATCATAAACAGGAATAAAGAATGGTAACAACTACATTCCTATCAATAAGTACTTCAAATGGAAAAGAATTAAGTGCTCCAACTAAAAGATAGAGTGACTGAAGGATAAGAAAATAAGACCCCTACATATGCTGCCTACGAGAGACTCACTTCAGATTAAAAGACACACACAGACTAAAAGGAAGGAGATGAAAAAAGATATTGCTTTGATGGACCTAGAAGGTATTTAAGTCAGACAGAGAAAGATAAACACTATATGATTTCACTTACATGCAGAATCTAAGGAACAAAAAGAACAAACCAATCAAAAACAGACTCACAAATATAGTAGACAATTTGGTGATGAACAGAGAGGAAGGAGGTTAGGGGCTGAGAGAATGGGGTGAAGGGTTAACAAAGTACAAATTAGTAGCTGATGGATGGTCATGGGGATGGAAAGCACAGCATAGGGAATGCAGTTAGCATTAATACATTGGCTAGGTGGAGGGTCAGGGAAGAAGGGAAGGAGCAATTGCGGGGATCGTTGTACAAACTATACAGATGTCTAACCAATGTCCTGTATACTTGAAACTAATTAAAATAAATTTTTAAAAAATCCATGAAAAACTCATGAACTTCAATTTAAAAAGACATATAATCTAAGAGTGAATAATATAAAAATTAGTAAAGAAGACAAATAAATATATTAAAAAGATAATCAACCTCAGTAGTAATCATAGAAATTCAAAATTAAATTAAAGATAACATCTGTTACCCATCAAATACAAAAAAAAAAGTTAAAACATCGTGAGTGTAAATGTAAACTGGTATAATTATTCAGGAGCTATTAAATTTTAAAATGTCTATGTCTTCTGAACCTGAAATTCTACTATTAACATTTTATCTTATATAGATATTTACAACAGTATTACATGGTTAAAAAGATGGGAGGACATTCACTAATGTGTTCTTTGTGATGATAAAAAAAAAGGGAGAACATAAAGTTTGATACATCCATAAAATAGAACACTACAAAGCTGTTAAAAAGAATAAGGCAGAAATAGATTTTTAGATGTAGACATGGAAAGATGTTTATGATTACACTGGTAAGTATACAGAACAATATACAAAACAATATGTACAGTGTCACCCAATTTATGTTTAAGTGAAAAAATGTGTATAAAAATTTGAAAATGCAAAGGTGGCTCCACAGTGTAGTGGTTAGCACGTCTGCTTTATATACAGAAGGTCCTGGGTTCGTGCCCCAGGTGGAGCCATGGACCATACCCCAGGTGCGCCGGGCCCTGAGTGCACCAGGCCCCCCAAATGTGCCAGGGGTGCCAGACCTCAGGTGTGCCAGGCCCCGAGTATGCGCTGCAAGCGCATGGGAGGAGATGCCCTGCTTTCAGAGATCCAGTCCTTAAGGGGAGATGGCAACATCCGTAGGTCAGGGGTGGTAGTAGGGGAGGGGAGGTGGATTAAAGAGGGGGGAAAAAAATTTGAAAATGCATCAGAAACATTCTGGAAGAATATATATCAAACTATCAATGAGTTATCTCTAGGGAAAAAAAATGAGACAGTACTAGAGAAAAGGGAGACTTTTTATTCTTTATATTTTTGTATCCTTTTTTAAATCACAAGTATGCATCACTTTTTATCATTAATACATACATATGTAAATCAAAGAATTATCTGAAGCCTATTTCACATTATATAAATCCTAATTCTATAAAGGTAGCTTTGTCTTTAAACCAACGGATTGTTAAATTACCTGAGGGTCTTATTTGCATCTAAATCTCAAAAGCCAAGCACTGCTTCTAGTTCATATGATAAAAATTTGCTGAATAAATTAAAATAAAAATGTAGTAGCTGAATCAACATACTTTTCTGTAAGAAAGTATTATCTATTCTATCACTTTTAGAGTAAGTATAATCTTCAAATTATACCATCGGTTTTAATATTCAGGTCTTATGGCAACCACAAATTAGCTTCACTACCTCTGATCATCTTTTAAAAGCTATAGAGGGGGAAACAAAAAATAGATACTGTTTTTATAAAACAAATGAATCCCAAAATGGAGACTGCTATCTGCTAGAACCCATAGCACCAATGCCAAAAGGTATGCAACCACCACAGAGTTGCGTAATTATAGGCACAGTTCTTACCTATGAGTTATAGGCCTACTTCATTTTACTGAGTTTTGTTTTATTGCACTTCACAGATAATTGTGTTTTTTACAAATTGAAGGCAATATCCTCTACCAGCAGAAAATTATGACTCGCTTTACTGCAATATTTGCTTTCTTGTTGTGGTCTGAACTGAACCTGCAATATCTCTGAAGTACACCTGCACTTTCCAATAAACTCAGCTTTAAATGAAATATACTTACTTTCTCTGTATTCTATTTCTGCTTCTTTGCGCAGTTTTTTCTCTCTGGCCAGAGCTTCAGGACTTCCCCACACTTCCAAAGATCTGTGCATAAACATATGACCAAGAACAATGGACAATTTTAATGACTTTATTGTAATCATATTTAAATCTAAATGAACCACATAACTTATGAGAACCTTACAACAAAGCATAATGTCTTTCAGGAAAAATACAAAGCACTTAAAGAACTTTTCTAAATGAAATCTAAACAAAAGAGTAAATTCACAGTAAATCTTATAAATTAGGATATATTTTTAGTTAACAGTATATACTAGTAACTCCCAAATAAACAAATTTGCAAATATAAAAATATTCTACTTTTAAAATATGTCATTTAAAAAATACTGGGTTTACAGCCATGCTACCCTGAACAAGCCTGATCCCGTCTGATCTCGGAAACTAAGCAGGGTCAGGCCTGGTTAGTATTTGGATGGGAGACCACTTAGGAAAACCAGGTGCTGTAGGCGTGAAAAATTAAAAAAAAAAAAAGGGGGGGATTATAAGATGACAAGGTCCTTGCAATCTGTGAGGTCAACCAAGGGTTGCTTCATCTAAGAAATAAAAAAAAAATTTAAATAAATATAATTAATTAATTAATTCTGGGTCTAAAATATGTTTTTATTAATCCCAAATTTACTTGTACTTTTATTCTAAAAGAACTATGTTCTTACTTCGCCTCCACATCTGATCTCAAGTATACAGTAAAGGACTCAGTATCTTCATGGGGACTTCGTCGTCTGATTTTTCGAAGTTGTTCTAGATCACTGAAGAAAAAAACATGTTGGATTTATTCAAAGTTCTTACAGTTTATTTATTAAAAGGATTAAGAGCAGATAAAAGCCACTACATTAATCCTCATCTTAAAAGACTATAGACCTGTATAGCTTTTGAAGATCAGTTTATAAAGATTACATTTTGTACACAGAAATTGGTCTAGAGATAGTGAAAAAAAATAATTATTTTTTATTTTTTGGGGTATCATATATAGGTATATATATATGGTACCTAAAATGCTCAATATAGGTACCATAACATAATATGCAGACATTAAAATTCCTTCATAAATGATTATATTTTATCTGCTATGGACACACCACTGCAATATATGATGTGTAAAAGAAAGGTGAAAACTGGAAAGAACATGAACTAGAGTATCAGCCTTCTATTTAAGAATTTAAATTTAAAACTTACAGCCCTGTTGGTTTACATTCAGACTGATATTAAGTGTTAATACCATTTGAAGGTATCAAGTCACAAAGATTACATGTCAATTCCATGCTATTTAATAATTTTTCCCTTCTCTTAAATTCTGAAAAGTTTATATATTCATCAAGTCACCGCTAAACAGTCATTCTGTATTTATTTGATTATTGGTGTTCCTAAGACAATTTTGTAACAGGGATGAAAAGACCTATAAATTAAAACGTGGTTAACTATGGAATTTTATTAAGTTCTAGAACTTAAATCTGAAGTTTAAAAAAGTCAACAACCACGGATTAGTAACAAAGTTTGGACCAGGTATCAAAAGATTATTCTAGTTTCCTCTCTATCACTGACTCACTAAATGAGGTGGGTCATCACTAACATCTTTATTATGTTTCCTGGCCTATAATGTGAAGACGGCAATACTTAACAAACTTAATTGACAAAAATTTTGTGAGAACTAAATGAAATACTCTGTGAAACAGAATACATTTTTACATCAGGGCTATAATTGATTATTATTTTACTCAGAATATAAGCTATTAAACCGATTATAGGATTCCGTATTTCTTGATACTGGATTATAAAGGATATGGCCAAGAGGGAGAACGAAGAAAAGGATCACATCTGATATTTCTAAAGCCAAGAAATCTTCTACATAAATATGGCTTTTCTAGGTAAACACACAAAGGAATTTTTAAAATATGCAATAAATATAATCTCAATAACTATGATCACAAGAAAAAAACAAAAGACCAGAAAATAAAATTTATATATTCAACAGAAACCACATATGGAATATAAATATAAATGTACTGACTAAATTAAGGACTACTCAATTCTGCTATTCAAAAAACCAAAACTTTTAAAAGTCTAACACAAAAATATGCAAATATTCTTATTATTGATAATCTGCCAGATGTGAACATAACGATAAAGCTCCTAAGATCTTGTGTGATATGGAGGTTTCAAAAACTTGCCTTTTTGAGTTTAAAAGACCAGAAAGACTGAAATTGCTCATGCTGGAGCATAATTCAATTTATTTCAGTAAGCGAACAATTTTACATTTTTTTTAACGGAATAAAAGTACTTCTTCAATTTAGGAAGAAGCCATGGGAAAGTTTCCACACTAATGGTAGCAGGTAACACATTCTAAGAAATTAATGGTTATTATGATAAAACAGATCAAATTACCACATTTTTAAAAAATTATTGTACCTGGATTTAAGGCAGAACTCATTTATTGCTCTGACTCCAGTGATAAAATTATTCTGAGTGTACTTTGGTCCATATTCCCTCTTCTTAAGGACTGCTTTGACTAAAACCAAAAATACAAGAAAACATAAAATATATGCAGAACAACAGTCATTTAAAGATGAACATATGCTGAGGCCTCTCATGAATTCCGTTAAGATACTGCTTTTTTTCCTTGACTCACTGAATGGCGTCAGAAAAAAATTTCTCCAAGAACAGAATAGAATGGAATTACGTTTGTAGCCATCTAGCTTTTATCTCCATACCTCATTCTTAACTGATGTCAAAATGCCAACCCTCTGTCTAATGGACACCTTGTATAGGTATCACTGGTCTGGTCGGTTTAAACTGTATTAACACAATTTAAATTGTTTAGGTTCTGAATGAAAATAAATTTGTTTCAATTAAATATTACAGGCCAGTTCAGTGTTTTTCAAACTGTGGGTTAAAAAAAGCATTTTATATAAAATGAAAAGAGAAAATAATTAAAGAGTACTGCATATAATTAAGAATAAGTATTTTTTATGAAAACTTTTGTTTCAGTTCATATACTTATATATATATGTGTATATATACACACATATATATATAAAGTTATTAGGTAGTATTTCTTATGTGGGTTTCATTCAAAACAGTGTGAAAGCCATCGGACTGTTTCACATGTTACAAAGCTGAAGTTAACAAAAGGAACATTTTTTATCAGTTAAAAATTATAAAAAGTTATTACAGATTATAGATAAAATACCACCTTCTATTAAATTATTTTCCTACTATCAAGTTTCAAAGTGTTCATAAAAAGGCCAGAGATGTCAACAACAAAATACCTTTGGCATCGATTATAATCTGTGAATTAAAAATTTCACTCAACATTGGTCTTTATGTCTTTATATTATAAAGTGAGACTTTTGGTCACATGACATAGATAAATAACATAGGCAAGGATCTGAAGAGCAAGAGCAAAACAAAAGAAGAAACTCGTGTTCTGTCACCTAGTCAAATTGTCACCTAGTCATCCTCATATTCTACCTTCATAACTACTAATTTATAAATTTTCTGTTCTATACTAAGTTGAAAGAGCAATTAAGATTAAAATTATCCATCCCTACAGTAGGCTAAGACATTCTTAAAATATTAGATATTAAAATCTAAAGCACAAATAATACCTAAAAACATTTCAAAAGTAAACTTCAATATAAAAATCAAAACTTTACTTGAAAAAGAAAAAACAAGCATCTAAAGAAGTTCAGGTTTCTTTCACATGAGTTCAAGTCTCTCAACCGCCTTACTCCAATAATCCTAAAACTCAAAATCCAGATGAGTTCCTCTGGAGGAGACAGGAGAATTACATCTCTTTTTTTAAAAGATTAGGATTTTTTTTTTAATTACTTTTTAAAAATTTCTTCAAAGTACCTAGAAATCCCTGTTAACTTTTCCTGGCCCAAATTATTGATGATAATGGCTGCTATCACAACATTAATTATTCTTAATTGTGACTGTGCTCTATGTATCATCTTCAAAATTATCCTACAAAAGAAGTCCTATTTTTAGAACCATCTTATTGGGAGAGAACTATGGCTCCGAAAAGTCAAGTAAACTATCCAAAGCCATACAGCTGTTACATGCTAGGGGGTATAAATTGAATCAAGTTTTGTCTGACACCAAAGCTACAGTGCTCCTAATCACAGAGTTACTGCGTCCTTGAAATATGCTGCTTTTGGGAATGGGAGCCATAGCTCATTTAGAACAGAGCTGCAAACAAAAATTCCTTCATCACGCAATTTCTCCTAGAAAAGAAAGTCAGACAATGATGTCCAAACTCAACCTGGATTTGAAAAAGCTGTAGCTTTGGCCTCTTGTCCTTTAATCGCATTACTTTTTGATAGGGTAGGCAGATAGGTAGATATGAGCCAGAGGGAGAAGGACAATAGGAGTTAATGAGCCCCTAACATCGGTTTAGCAGTAAAATGTATGAAAAAAGATAACAGGCGGCTTGTTTTCCCATGGTCAGAGCCTCTACAAAGCAAAACATCTAGAGGCTTCTGGCACCTCCCTCCTTCCCCCATGATCAGTTAAAGGCAAATGACTATTATATGACCTTACTCTGGGGGCGCTTGACAGGTATTGGCAAAATTAGTTAACTGGGCATGAGCCCACCCTCCAAATCCCAAAAGCACAGATGTGTGACATCTCATCTACGGGCACACACTACACAATGCGCCAGCTTGGAGTAGGAGGGTCAGAGGAGGGACGGAAGGTGAACACAGAAACCGATATAATACCCCAACTCTCAACTTCTCAACACACTGGATTCTCTACCAAGTTGCCCGCTTGGACGTCTCCAAGTATACTTTGCTTGCTTTACTTAATAAAATTGCTGCTGTTTGCTATGCTTTGCCTGCTGTCTTTCTTCTCCAAGCACTGGACCTGCACGCAAATCTCTTGTGGGGCATCCAAGAACCAAGACCCAACTCTCACAATGCAGACATCTTATTGTCCAGCAATATTTAAAATAGTAAAGCGCTTGATGACTTCTGTCATTACTCCTTTCTTTGGGCTTTTGAGAAAACAATTATAAAATTTGGGACCAAAATGCAAAGTAAACCTCAGGAGAAAATTAGCTTATAAATAGGAGAATAAATCCTTATAGTTAATATATTTAAAGAAAAATAAAACAAACTATATCCTTATAATAATATAAAGAGCTCAATATAAACTAATTTTATATATTTATTTCAAAACATTGTTACAATAAAAAATAGAATAAAATATATTTACCTCTTACTTGGAGAGGTTCTTGTTTCATAAGTGGCGCTTTGAGTTCCGCACCTATATTTTCTGCTGTAAAGTTTATTTAAAAAGTTTACATTAAGAAGTGGCTTTCATACAAACCTATAAACTCAGTATTAGCTAACAATCTGACAATGTATAAAAACAGTTATATTCACAGTCAAGTTGGATTTATCCTAGGAATGTTAAGTAAACATTAAAAAAGCTACTAATTCCCCTCATTAACAGATTAAAAGAAAACAACTAAAGAATCACTTCAGGAGCTAAAGAAAAAGCATTTAATAAAATTCAACACTCATGCAAGTTTCAAACTCTTAGAAAATTAGGACAAAAAGGAATTCCTTTAAAGAGTAAAACAAACTTAAACATTGTATTCAATGGTGAAACTTTAGAGGTATTCCTTTAAAATAAGGAACAAAACAAGGACACACACTGTTGATTCTTCTAGAGATACTATTCAATGAAGAAAAAATGACTATTAAGTAGTTACTGAACCTACTTTACAAATAACTCCCTCTCCAAAATAAAAATAAAAATTAAGGGAATTAGAATCTACCTCACACCAACATCTAATTCCAGGTAGATTAATGACTTTAATGTTAAGACATTTACGTACCTAAGAGACAATGATATAGATTATTTTTATGATGGAGTCAGACTTTTTAACAAGATACAAACAAAACAAGAAAAAATGAAAAAATTCTGCTAAATTAAAATTCAGAATATCTGTTCATTAAAAGAGGCCATAAAAAAAGAAAAGCCTCAAACTGGGAGAAGATATTTCCAACAAATAGAATCAACAAAGGTAAGTATCGAGAATATTTAAGAATTCCTCCAGATAAACAAAAGATAACCCACTAGAAAAAAAAGGGCAGAAGACAAAAACAAACTTGCACAGAAAATGAAATACGAATAGCCAATAAACATATGAAGAGATGATTGCTTCATTATTAAATAGAATCCAAATGAAACCACAAGATGCCATTTTATAACTTGCAGATTACAAAAAATGAAAATTATGACAACGTTGGCAAGAGTATGGAGCAATGGGACCATACACTGCTGATGGAATGATAAACAGGCACAAGGTAAAAAATATCACCTTGGTAAACACGTTGGCATTATCTAATGTAGTTGAACACAAGCATATATTATGACCTAACATTTCTACTTCTAGATACTTAGCTTATAGAAATTTGCCTGAGAGCATAAGAGAGGTATATGAATGTTCAGAGAAGCATTATGTTGTTGTTTCAAACTGTAAACAATCTAAATGTCCATAAGCAAGAGAATAAACTAACCAATTCCATTCATACATCATCTCATACAGCAGTGAATAATAATAAACATAATAATGGCTATCTTTCTTAAACCCTTATTATGTGCTAAACACTATACTAGGCACTTTACATGCACCAACTCATTTAATTCACTCAACAGCCCTAAAAAGTACATGCTATAATTATCTGCATGAAAATTAATGAACCAAATACATATACCGTTAGGATAAATCTTAGCAACAAAACTTAATGAAAAAAGTAAATCACAAACGAATACATACAATAAGCTATTACCATGAAGTACAAACACAAGCAATACTAACAGGTATATATAAAAAGTCTAAATCTAGTTCTTTTTTTTATATCAAGAGACAAATACAAAATTCAGGATAGTCACACTGGATAGGTAGGGTGCAGGGGGATGTAAGAAGAATGTGATTAAGAATGTAAGGTTCTGGAGAGCCAGAGGAGAGAAACAGCAATTAGCAGGATCGTTTTATAAACTATATAAATGTCTAACCAATGTACTGTATACTTGAAACTAACAAAAAAAAATAAAATAAATAAAAATGCAAGATTTAACACCCCAAAAAAAAAAAAAAAAAGTAAGGTTCTTAGGTTGGGTGGTAAATTCCCAAGAGTTAATTTTATTGTTTTCTAACTTACATATACAATGCATATATTCTTTTATAAGTATTACATATTTTGTAATAAAAATCTCACACTGAAAACATTTTCCCTGATTATATATATCCTCATTTAAAAATAAAATAGTATTTCAGTTTATTAATAATGTTTATTAACATTTACTAAGCATTTACCATATGCCACATACTGTACTATGTGCTTTATGTTCATTATCTCATTTAATCCTCACAAAACTGCTTTAAGTACTATTATCTTTATCTTACAGATGAGGAAACTGAGCACAAAGTTTTATAACTTCCTCCAAAGTCACACAGCTAGTATTTTAAACATAAAGTCACTTTAAGATTGAAAGCCAAGTCATTGTGATTAGTCTATGTCTTAACCACTTCCTATATTGCCTTTATATTTAAAATAATATTTGATTTATGAGTAAGTATGTGTGTAATTTGCATGGGGGAGGAGAAGATAGAAGTGAATAATG